ACCCAACATTTCCCATCAAAAGAGGAATTCCGGGGGGTACAAGTGTTTAACGTAACAATGGGAATGGTGGAGGATCAGTGAAAGACAGCAAGACCTTCAATGAGATGGACTGACACACTAACTGTGACAATGGACTTGAGCAGAATGGAGAGAGTGAGGGTGATGAAGGACACGGCAAGGTTCAGTTCTGTTTTCCCGGGGTTTTTATGTTCATACCTCCCCCTAACAACAATAAATGGCTAAGCGCTCTACTACTAGCCCAAAGGTTGAGAGTTCAAATCAACATAGAGACAACTCAGCAGATAAGCCTAGCAATGTGCTTCTAAAAGGTCATGTGCTTGAAAATGCTATTAAATATGATTCTACTCTGCACAGATGGGTCATCATGAGTTAGAGTTGATTCAAATAACTACAACTTCAAAATGCCTGGACCCAACACCAGAGGTTTCAAACTCCCCTCACTGCCATCAAGTAGGAAACAGCATAGTTAACTTTCAGCATGTTTTCAGAGGCTTTAAATCCTAAGAGAAAAGATGTCCATCTTTCTCCCATGGAGTACTTGGTGGATTCAAACTGCCTGCCTTTGGGTTGGCAGCATGACTCCTTACCATTAAGCCATCAGTTTTGCCAGCCTCAAGAGAGGAAGGCAGGGAGATGATTGGCAGCCCTTCCCAAAGCTCCCTGAAGGATGGGGGGTAAAGTGATGGGCAGCTAGGGTCGACCATCCCCAGCCTGGGTGCTCTGTGCTCGCTCCTAATGGCCTCCCTCCCTAAGCAGATCCTTGGACCAAAATCCACGCTGATATCCTTTAGGGAGGGCACACTTTCATTTCAACACTCATTAAATGTCAAATTTTGCTAATACCTAAGAATATTTTTCTAATTGCTTTTTAAAGAATTCCTCACAGTAGGTATTTGTTAAACACACAATCCTGGGTTCACTTCTAGACCTGCTGGACCACAGCTTGTATAAATGGCAAGTCTGGAAGCTGGGTTTTAAGTGCACACCCCTTCCCGGTGTGTGCTTCAGACGCAGTGCAGTGTGAGGTTTCTGGCCACATGAGGCTCCCAGAAACAGCTAGACACCCTGAAAGACCAGGCTGAAAAGATACAAACGCCACAGGGCATCTGCTTGTGCTGGACACTGGGACACGAAGGTGAACAGGGCAGGTGAATCCAGGAGTCCTGGGAGCTGTGACCTGTGCACAAGCTGAGTGTCAGCACGGCAAGCTATAGAGATTGTGCCGCCATGATAACAAAGGCAAACATCCGGGGGACTCCTGGGTGCATCCGTCAGGAGGGGGCACCCCAGCTGAGCTTATAAAGGCAGACAGACTTGGTGTCACTGGAGATGCTGTATTCTAAGATGTTTCTGTGGGGCTGTAAGGAGCCCGTTCATCAAACAGGGGGGGAAAATACACTATGGAGGGTTGATGCAGAGGTCTGAGGTCATCAGAGGCTGCCCATGCCCCAAGCACCAGGACCAGGGCTGCAGCTAAGGAGCCTTAATGGATTTGGTCACCTGGCTGGCTCAGCACTGCCCACTCCAAGTTATGGCAGTTCCGTGCCACAGCCACTGCCTGGACACGGCTTTTCACTTTCCCAGGGTTCCATGTCCTTATGACATAATGGAGATGTCCCTACTTCCCTAGCACAAGACTGTTAGGGAGCCCCAGAAAGAGGGCTGTGAACGTGCTCGAGAGATTCAGCAGCTGCACCCCTGCTGATGGGCACTGAGCAGCTGCACCCCTGCTGATGATGGGCACTGCAAGTGTCTTGGGGTTCTCAGAGCATTTCCCACCTGCTCACATTCCGCCCCCAGCAGAAGGACCACAACTCTTGTACAGGAATGACTCAGGCAGTGCCTGATGGTTACAGGAAAGCTAGGGAGCATTTACATTTGCCTAGGAAGTTCCCTGTCAGGGATCTCTCCAAAACACTGAGGAACAATGGTGTTAGCTGGAAGACTAAGGTGTGCCTGATTCGGGCCATAGTCTTTTCAATCAGTTGTTATGTGTCTGAGAGCTGGAAAGTAAATAAGGATGGCAGAAGAATTGGTGCCTTTGAGCTACGGGGTTGGAGAAGAGCACTGAGTATTCCATGCCCTGCCAAAAGAACCAACAGGTATGTCTTGGAGAGAGTGCAGCCAGAGTGCTCCTTAGAGGCAAGGATGGTGAAGCTTCATCTTTCTTATTCTGGGCATGTTGTTAGAAGGGGCTATTCCTCAGAAAAGGAAATCATGCTAGGAAAGGTGGAAGGTCAGTAAAAGAGAGAGAAAAGACCTTCAAAAAGCTGTGCTGACCCTCACGGCAGCAACGGGCTCAAGCAGACAGGCATGAGGAGGATGGCACAGAATAGGACTGGGTTCAGATCGATGTTCATAGTGTGGCTATGAGTTGGACTGAACTCGACAGTACATACAACAAGGAAGACCCTCAACAAGGTGGATTGACAGGATGCTTCTAACAATGGGCTCAAGTATATCAGAGATGGTGGAGAATCCACAGGATAGTGCAAGGTTCGGGCAGACAGGGTCGCTATGAGTTGACGGCACCCAACAACAACAACAAACTCAGTACCCAAACACATCACCAATCAACAGACATGGCAACGTGCTTTGACTCACACTTTTCCAAAGAAGAATAAAAAGCAATCATTCCTAAAAAGAAGTAAAACTCTGACACATACTGCAACATGGGTGAACCTGGAAAGCACTGTTCTGTTAAAGGAAATTAATATGGTCATAAAAGGATAAATCTTGCATGCTCCCAGTCTTATGAAGTATCTAGAATAGGCAAATCCATAGAGGTAGAAAGTAGACTGGAGGTCACAGGAGCTGGGGCCGGGCTGTGAGTAGGAGCGAGAATGTTGCTGTTATCAGGTGCCACCAAGTTGACGCGGACTCGGCAACCCTATGAACAAGAGGTCACAATCTTGATCGATCCTGAGTCATCCTCACCATCCGCCATGAGTAAACCCACTGTGCCAATCACTGTGGCAATCCACCTCCCTGAAGGTCTGCCTCACCTTCTTTGAGCCTCTCAGTATACTGTCTTTTCCCAAGGACTGGCCCGCTCCTGACAACATTCCCAGAGTATGTGAGGCACAGTTTCACTATCCTTGCCTTTAAGGAACACCCTGGCTGCACTTTTCTTCTAAAACAGACTGATTTTTACTTTTGACTGTCCAAGGGGTAGTCAGTACTCTTCACCCCCAATTCAAAGACATCCCATAATTCTTCCGGTCTTCTTCCTTGATTGTCCAACTCTCACAAGCATGTGAAGCAATTTAAATATCATGACTTAGTCACCCCCACCTTAATCTTTAAATTGGCATCCCTGCTCTTCAGTACTTTATATAGACCCTTGACAGCAGATTTGCCCAATGCAAAAGGTGAGGAAACATTTTTTTTTAAATAGGTGGTTGTGAAGTCTGCACAACACTGTGAATGTAAATAGTGCCAGGATTATACACTTAGAATGACAGATATTGTGTCGCATGTAGGTGGCTATCAATAACTAACACTGAGCCTGTGAACAACAGATCTAAACCCTGAGCTGTCGTGTGCCGATCTCACCATCTCTGTCACACTTGGACCCACTGTACAGTCACTGTGTCGATCTGTCTCGTTGAGGGCCTTCCTCTTTTTCTCTGACTTTCCACTTTCCCCAGTGCAATGTCTTTATATAATTTTTCAAAAAGGGGATTAAAATATAAATTGTCCTGTGAAAAAGAACAAAATTCACATATAGGTCTCACTTTGCTAAACTGTTATCTTTCAGCTTTTATTATCATTTTGGGGAATCTGGGAGCTGATGGAGAGCATAGATTAAATATCTCACTTGCCCTCCTCATTATTGACTTTCAAAACTCACCAGAACTGCACCGCTTTTCCCTTTGCATTTGGCCACCTTTTGGGACCTCCTCAAAGTCACAGAGCCCCCAAGCCCACCCCCAGAGGCAAGCTCCTCTCTCCTCGCCTTGTTTATCTTGCTCTGCAGAGTCTCCTAACTCAGGCCATTGTCCTTCCCTCAATTTTGACAAATCCTTCCTCTTCCCTTTCCCCTCCTGAGAAACTTCCTCCAGTGGGAATCTCAGCCACAGAGGGCGGGCGAGGCCCGGGGAGAGGGGGGAACCTGGAGGTTGTGATTTCTGTTATCCGTGGCACCCGTGGTCAGGTCTGACTCAGGGGGACCCCATGAGCAGTGGGAAGCAGCAGCCTGGCTGATGAGATTGTTGAGATCTTTACGGTTCACTGACTCATTTTCAGCAGGATATCGCCAGCTTCCTCCCCCCCAAGCCCCTCTCAAGCCCCCACTTCAGATCGGTTCCTGAATCCAGGCGGCATCGGCCTTACAGTCTAAATATCACGGAGCTCTGCTGACTGAGCAGGAAGGAATTCCGCGGCCAACCCAAAGGCAAGCTGTTCGAATCCAGCAGCTGAGCCAGGAGAAGGCGGGCAATCTCTTCCCGCGCCTGATTTACGGCCTTGAAAACCCGCAGGAGGCTCAGCTCTGGGTGGGCGCCAAGTCCACGGGACACAACAACAACAGTGTAACATCACAAGTCCCTTTAAACGCCTTGAATTTGGAAAAGCATTCCTGAAGCCCCTCAAAATTCCTTACGTCCAAGCCAGAGAGGTCCGAGGGGGCCCTTTCCTCCTGGCTGAGAGAAGACCGCCGTGGCCCCACCTGCCGTGGGAGACACGTGAATGAATGAACGACGGGAACCCAACTTTGCAAGCACTCGGGCCACGCGCCGTTTTTCAGAGCGCCCTCCCTTCTGGATCAATCTTTCCGCCACCCTCACCCTCACCACCGACCCCGTTATTCCTTTCAAGCTAGCGGTCTCAGGAAAGCATTAACTCGGCTGTCATGGCGCGTCCCACGTCCACAAGCCCTCTGGCACCTGTGAGCTCCGTGCCAGCGCTAGGGCCCCTCACCAGAGGCAGGGCTGAGGGGCCTGACAGGGGAACCACGGTGGCCCCGGCCGCGGTCCTACCTCGGAAAGTCAGGCTGGCCACCGGGTCGCTGCGCCGGTCCTTCTTCGCGCTGGGGAGGTTGCTGGCCCCCACGAGCAAGCAGGACAGCATGGCTGCGCGGCCCCGGGGCTCCCAGGCGCGGCGGGGCGGGAGCGGGGGCGCGGGGGACACGGCCAGACAGCGGCTGTCGCCTCCCTCGAGCCTCCCCACAGGGAAAGCACCAGCGGCCGGAGGTCACCCGACACTCGCTCGGCCCCCTCCCGCCTCCAGCCCCGCCCTGGGCGCCGTGGGGGCGGGAGCGGGGTCAGGGGGCGCCGGCGGCCGGGGCGGGGGGCGGTGCCACCCCGGAAAGGTCGGCCTCGCCCCGCGGAGCCCACTCAGTGAGGCGGCTGAGCTGTGAGGAGTCGGCGGGGCGGGGCCGGGGAGCCTGGAGCGCGGCGAGCGCGCGCGGGCGGGAACCTAATCTGGAGCCGTGCGCCCTTCCCCGCGCCGCGAGGAGAGCCCGCGCGAACGCGCCCCTCAGCCTGCGGTCCTCGGTGCCCGAGCCGACTCCCCTCCCTGAGCACCCTGTAGTTCCCCGTCTGCAGAGCGTGCGCCTTGAGCGTGGCTGGCTTCTTTTCAGCTTAAGAACTTTCTGAGGACCCTGACTTTCGCTCCTCCACATCCTAACGCCTCAGTGCGCAGTACCCCGCAAGGCATTTCCTTCCCCACTCCCGCCAAGTCCGCTAGCCCGCCTCTCAGCCCGCTGCAGGGCGGCCTGGGGTCTCGTTGTTCTAGGGCACTCCCTTTCCTGAGCACTCTTCAGCCTCCTCGTCTCCAGAGGGGAAAACTTGCCGGGTCCCCTCTAACCTCCATCCACCCCGCCAGGCACGTAATCCTGCAGAGCAGAAGGGACCCTCAGGAGTTTTCCTGGAGGCAAGCTGTATTGCGGAGTCACCAGGTCTTGTCTGCCGTAGTTGCCAGCTTTAGGTTAACACATCAGCTGCGAACTATCTGAGCCCCGCAGGGTCCTTCCACTGACAACAACGAAACAACACGCAAGGCCATGTCCCCTCGGTTCTGACTCACAGCGACCCTGTAGACTCGTTAGACCTGCCCCACAGGTCTTCTGAGGTGAAGAGAAGCCTTTCTAAGAGCTAAGGGCCTCAGCTTTCTCCTGGACACAAGATGGTTTGAACCGATGGCATTTCAGTGAGAGCAGTGCTTAACTCCCAGTACCCCCGAACCTCTTCCTAACCTCCATCCATAACCGACATCACTCAACGTCTACATTGAGCCTAAATGTCTCCACTCCCCTCTCCTTATTTTATTTTGATAAATCATTTCCTCAGGGCTAATCAATACCTTTCATGGATGATGTCTGTAGCCTTGGCTAAAAGCTGCTAATACCAGAAAGCTGGTTACTGGTGTTTGCTACACCACTCAACACCACTCACCTGTGGGGGTCATCACAAATTACCGCCCACGTTTTGAAGAGTGAGAATTCCCGAACTCTTCATTGAGTTCACGTGGAATCTGTATCATTGACCATGAGGCAGTTGTCAAGGCAGAACAAGGGAACACTTTGTGGTTTAAGTCAAGAAAGGTGTGTTTCAGGGCTGTATTCTCATATTGTACCTATTCAAACTGTATGCTGAGCAAATAGTCAAACTGAGGTGGTGGTGAACAAGAATTTAGGATTTTAGGAAGACTCACTAGCACCCAACCCTATGCAGATAACACAACCTTGCTCACTGAAAAAGCTAAGAGGCCTTGAAGCACTCACTGATGAAGATGGAAGCCTATGGCTTTCTGTGTGGATTGACACCTCAGCAGGAAGAAAACAAAAGTCTTCACTGTTGGACCAAGAAAAGGCAGCAGGACAAATGGAGAAAAGATTTGTCATCAAGGATTTCCTTTTGCTTGGACCCACAGGTAACACTCACAAAAGCTGCAGTCAGGAATTTAGTAGCACTGGGCCAATCTGCTAAAAAAAAAAACCCCTCCTAGGGAGCTCTAGTGGCCTAGTGGCAAGACGCTATACTGCAATCCCAGAGGTATGCAGTTCAAATCCACCAGATGCTCTGCTGGAGAAGGAGGGGGCAATCTCCTCCTGTACCAGTTAGATCTGATTTGACGGTACAAGTAAAAATAATATAATAATTTTTTAAAAAACCCTCCTAAACTTAAAGAACAGAGATGTCACTTTGAGGGCCAATGTGCAAGTGACTCAACACACGAAATTTTTATTTGCCTCGGAGGCATGTGAAAAGGCTGGGCAATGAATAATGACCTTTTAATTACAGGGTTGGCAGACAACAGAGAACTCAAAGCCTTCCAGAAAGATTAACAAATCTGATGTGGACAGTGAAGCCAGAATGCACCATGAAAGTGGAGATGGTGAGACTTTAACTCACTTCATTTGGATGTGTTATCACAAGGGGCCAGTCCCTAGAAAAGTAGAGAGTCAGCAAAATAGAGGCCCTGAGAGATGCATCCACACAGTGGGTCCATCAGTGAGCTCAGAACAGCAACAACCAAGAGGACAGGGCAGGACTGGGCCAGTGTTTAGTTCTGGTGTGTATAAAGTTGCTATAAGTAGGAACCAACTGCACAGGGAAGTTGTCCCTAACCACCCAGTTTACTTCAGGGCTTTCTGACCAATAGCCACAAACATCACAATGATAATTCAAAACAATCTGGGTCACTATTTATGTGATGTCTGTCTCCCTAGCTGCACTGTGGAGTCAATGAGCGGTTGATGTTTTTGTTGCTGTTATATGCCATCAAGTCATCTGTGATTCATAGTGACTCTATTTTCAGTAACTCTAAACCCTGCTCTATCCTGAGCTAATCCCACTGTCTCTGACACACCTACCCTCATTACCCTAGTCACTGTGTCAATCCATCTCATCCAGGGTCTTACTCTACCCTTTGCTGTTCCTCCACCCTTCTAAGCATGAACTCCTTCTCCAGGGACTGGTCCCTCCAGGGCAAAGTATGGGAGATGGAACTTCAAAATCCTAGCCTCTAAGGAGAAACTTGGTTTCACCCACTCTAGGACAGACTGATTTGTTCCCTTGGCAGTCCATGGTATAGTCAATACTCTTCTCTAGCACCACAACTCAAAGGCAATGATTCTTCTTCTGTCATCCTTAGTTATTGTCCTGCTCTCTGATACACAGCAATTAATTATGAAGTCTATAGCTTGGACTAGGTGCACCTTAGTCTCTAGACTGACATCCTTGCTCGTTAACACTCTGGAGAGGTCTCTGACAGATTTTCCTAATGCAATTCATCTTTTGATTTCTTGATTACTTGTGCTGAAAGTATTGATTGTGGAACTGAGCTATCTGAAATTGTTAACAATCTCAATCTCTTCAGCTATCATGACATTGCCAATTGTCCCAGTGGAGAGAATCTTTGTTTAGATGTTCAGCTTCAAACCATACTGAAGACTGCAGTCCTTGACCCTCTGCAGCAAATGTGGCAGGTCCTCCTCAGTTTCGGCAAGCAATGTTGTGTCATCTTCATAATGCAAAGGACTTCATCAATGAGAGGTATGTCCCTTCTAATCTGCAATGAGTTGCTCTCTGTAAATAAGCACAAGCGAGCTCATGCTTCCCTTGCTTACTGAGTACTCCATCCTGACAGGCATTATGAGCTTGAAAAGAAGCTTCGAGTCTAGAAAGGAACTGAGGAGTGGTGATAGAGACAGAGGCTCTCATATGCAGAAGAAGAATCTGTAATGTCATGGGGGGGTGTGTAATGTGAAATTGTTCACTACAGACTAGTGAATAATCCATACATACTTCACTTACTGGCTAATCCAATTCTCTCCACCCAAGTGTGTCCATTAAGGACACAAAACTCCTCACCACTAAAGCAATAGGTAACATCATGACAGATGGCGAAAAGATTGGAAATTGTCAACAATTTCCTTTTACTTGGGTCCACAATCCACACCCATGGGACTAGCAGTTAAGAAACCAAAAGATGTGTTGCCTTGGGCAAATATGCCTTCAATGGCCTTGTCAAAGACCTAAAGAGCAATGATGTCAGTTTAAAGACTAAGGTGCACCTGACCCTGTGCATCTGAAAGTTGGCTGATGAATCAGGGTGGCTGAAGAAGAATCAGTGCCAGTTAACTGCAGTGTTGGAGAAGAGTGCTGACTATCCCACAAGCTGGCTAAAGAAAAAAAAACCAAGTCTGTCTTGGAGGAAGTGCAAGGATGGTGCTCCATCGAGGCAAGAAACTTAGTCTCACATACTTTGGGCATGACTTCATGATGGGAAAGGTGGAGGGCCAGAGAAAGAAAGGAAGACCCCCAACAGGATGGATCGACACAGCGGCTGTACAGATGAGCTCAGGCTATCAGACACGGGAGTTCCGATCCGGTGTTCCATGACTTGCTATGAGTTGTAGTCAGCTAGAAGGTTCCTAACAACAACAGTTTTGGGACTGGGGGCATGTGGACATGGCACTTAGCTCTCAAATGCCCAAACACCCAATTATGAGCCTGAAAGGGCTCTAGAAGTAGACAGTACTGCCCCCTTGGGGAAATTCTGGGTATTAAAGGGATTTGGGAGGTTTTATAAGTGTCATAATGATTAACACTTTGCGCCTTCCTCCTTCCACACCCTTCCTCTCTGTGTATAGAACCAGGCCATCAGATCCAGCACAGGAAATTCGCAGGGGATTTTATCTGTTTGTGAGGAACATTCCTATGGACTTTCACAAACATTTGACTTGTATCCAAGGAACAGTGGATGCACGCACCTGATCTGTAGACGAGAGAAGGGAACAGCTGGTGGCCTGAATCCTGCGTACTTCCTGAGGCCTCGTCCCACCCAAGCCCCAGCTTTCCTGCTCTGGCTCCTCTTCAATGTCTAGAACTCTGCCCTAAACCAGGATCTGACCGTTCCCTTAGAGACCACATATTGTTGTTGTTAGGTGCTGTCAAGTCTAGCGCGACTCATAGTGACCCTGTGAAAAACAGATCTGAACCCTGTTCTCTCCTGAGTCCTCTTACTGGGACCAATTCACTCCCATATTTGTTGTCTTCTTCCACATAAATAAAAGATTTGTCTGGCCACATGGCCATCCAAGCTTAAGACTACATTTCCCAGCC